GAGGGTCTTGGAGGATCTTTTGGAGGGTCTTGGAGGGTCTTGGAGGGTCTTGGAGGGTCTTGGAGGATCTTGGAGGATCTTGGGGGGGTCTTGGTGGTTTCACATCTTCGTTTCACTGTTTTGTCTACTCCGTACTCCGTAGGACGTTCTCATTTACTCCGTATGCAATTAACTATTACCCTAAAAGGAGTACTAAATAATTCAAAATAAATTCAAAATAAAGCTTAGGTTGTTTTTCTCTTTCCCATTTTTCTTTCCCCCCCCAAGGCAACTCACGGGCCAAGTTTCGCGAGAAATCCCGGGCCAAGATACCCTGGGTTGCTTGGAACGCCACGTCTGGGCTATTTCTGGGCTATTTGAGCTATGTTGAAATGCTATATTCAGAGGTATAGGCAAAGCATACGGAAGAATAATTACGGAAATCCTTCAGTCCCTTGGTGATGTTACTAGAAAGTTGGGGATTAATTTTATCCAGTGTGGTTAGGGCTTGGATAATTGTGGCCTTGTTTATAAGGTGTCCAACACCTGCCTGATTCGGAACTTCCTATTCTTCATGACCTATCACTGTTCTTCCGTACACAAATCCACCAAATCCACAAGTCCATAGATCTCTATGTATCTCTCCTGCTATAACTTTTTCCGGTGGACTGGAATAAAGGAAATTTCTAAAAATTGGAAAATCTTGGAACTAAGGCCATAATAGAGATTGTAGCACACGCGGAGGGAGCTCGACTCCTATACAACCGCTCTCTCTTCCCCCCCCCCAATCCATTTGCTTGGCTTCTTTTCTTTTCCTGGCTTACAGGTAACCGACAGGAACTAAAAAGGGCGCTCAATCTTCATTTCCGACATCATCCGATATAACTGATGTAGTCTTGAAGTATTACTAGATCTCATCTCTCGATGCTTCCCGTTCAAAGACTTTTTTGCAGCTAGGATACCGAAGGAATGAGGGGTTGATTGATAGTTCTCATGAAAAAGTCCTAGAAGCGTCTTCTTGGATTCAAGATGAAAAGACGTAGGTACCTTATAAGAACCTGAAAGAGAGCTTTAGATTGGTGGTATCTCTTTTGTTCCATCTGATTGGAATTGTTGGCAATGAATCGCCATCAATCCGTCCAACTTGCATGGGAGCCCTCATCCACACCACATCTCTTTTCCGCCTTCCACACGGCTTTTGGGCAACGAACATACCAGTGATCCGCGATGTAAATTCATGTGATACATATTTTGAATTTCATCTAAAATACAAGTTGTTGAGGAGTCACGTCCAGTTATCTATTCAATGTTATCGTCGGTGCCAGTCTTGGCACCCGTGGATTGGCCACCATCAAGTGCGATAAGTTCAGCGAGGATTTCGAGAGTTTCCTTGGGAACGGTCTTGTCGTAAATTCCGATCAAATCCTAATAATGGCAGTTAGTATGATGGAGATGAAGATAATGAAGAAAGCAGTAGGCGACATCGGGAAATGGCTTGTACGTACCTGAGGCTGAGGGTAGACCTTCAACGCTTTCCAAAACGCAATTGCTGCTTCGACTTGGGAACCTAGAGATTCAGTTAGCGATCGGTTTATTCGGGTTACGACGTGTCACCGATATCTCGATCCCGCCCTTCGGAATCGAGATAGGATGAGAAGATGAATTTAATTTACCTTCCGAAGCACAAAGAGATTCGCCCAACGCGACTTGACTCATAAAAAAGCTTTCCTTCTCTTCAAGATCTGTTGGAAGTTCACCGTTCCTCTTCACTTGTTCAAGTGCATTCTTAAGCTCTACGACCCTGGCTGCGGCGCCGGCCTCTGCCTCCTGTTTCGCGGTTTGTTCAACCTTCTTGTTGTTCTTCTTCAACGATTTGCGGAAGTTAGGGTCACTTTGACGCTTATAATCAAAATAAACGGCGTAGGCTGGCACAAAAGGTTAATGATTGAAGAACATGGTGAGATGAATGCTGCATACCGAGAACTCCAGTTAGGATCGTGCCGGCGACGATGGCAGTGTTTCGGAAAGCCATAGTGAAATTGTAAGATGAGGTGGAATCCAACGTATAGGAATTATTCCAGCAGGGTGTATGCGGACTTGGAGAGGCGATAGTGGTTGAGTGGTGGTTGGGCGATAAAAATGTTTCAAGGAAGTCCAGATGTCCGAGGCCCTATAGTGGATTATATAATCATCACCCGCAGCCCGAGCGTCATCCCCTTGACATCCCGAGACGTTTCCATTCCTTGTTGATGCATCGCTAAGTGAGATCACCATGGAAGGCCGAGGATTGACTTTAAGGAGCAAATCTCGTCGGCCGCGCCCTCAGATTAGCGCTCCCAAACCTATCTCCGGTCCTCTACCTCCTAATACCAGGTCTCCCGAATCAGGCCCATCTGTAATCCCCACACGTGAGCGGGCACCGCAGAACGACGCGACTTCGGATTTGGTGAAACGGCGATACTCGAGTCGATTTAACAGCGCACCGGAATTTGATAGCAATGTTCCTCCTGTTCCGGCACTTCCAACTCAGATGCCCGGGGGTCGTGGCGGATTAGCACCGGCAGCTATTACAAGTCTCCCATCACCAGCGGACCCGAACTCACCAGCACCGAAAGTCGACCTCAATGCTCTACGAGATCCTAGTCTTCCAGTTGATCGATGTTAGAGCTCCCTAGCCCTCAGTTGTGTGTCTGTTCAAGCTAACCAGGGGTTTCCGATGCTAGATGTGGCCGGTCTTCTTGCCAACGCGTCCGAGGAAGATATTCAAAAATACCAAGAAAGCCTACGCAAAGTGAAGAACCGAACATCAACCGATCTCCAGCAAAATGTCTACCAGAATCGGACCCAATTCATCAAGATCAGTAAAGAGGCGGAGAAGCTCAAAGATGAAATGCGGACCCTGCGCACCCTCATGGCGGAACTGACAACGGCTCTCGGACAAACAAGCGTAGGAAACTCACCTAACCTCATGTCACCGATAGAGGACTCTTTCCCCAAGCGCAATGCCAATCGTAGCTCGGTTGCCAGCCTCGAGAGCATGTGGAGCGTCCAGCTACAAACGCTGTGGAAGACAGTGGAAGGGTCGCAAAAGTGGCTTCCAGCTGCACCCGGACGACACATTGTCCTTGAAACTGGTAATTGGGTTGAGCTTGACTCAGCTACCTGGAAACCAAGACGGCCCGTTCACATTGTGTTGCTGAACGATTACCTGCTCGTGGCCGCGAAGAAGCGTAAGCGGGTCGACCAAAGTCATCCCAACCACCGAGGACCTGTTCCAACGAGGCTAGTGGCAGAAGACTGCTGGCTTCTTAATGATATTGATATGATTGATCTTGGTGCGAATTTGGGAACGGGGCAAGCGCGCAAAGAAGCTCTGGACCGGGGCATTGGGAGATCGATCAGCATCCGCGTGGGATCCAAGCCCTTTACATATCGCCATGATGACGTTTCAGCGAAACAGGAACTTCTAGCAACTTTCCGCAAGACAGTTGAGGACCTACGTCGAACCATGCGATCGGAGACCGAAGCGGCCAGCAAGCCCCTGGAATCATATGGATATATGGCTGGTCGGCACCTCTCCCATTCGAAAAAGCCCGACTCTTTTGACCTCTCAGATACCCCAAGAGACAAATCCGATCTACGCATTGATGTAGATGGAAGGCAACAGAACCTCCGTTGGGTTGAAGGGCAGGTAGACGAGCTTGACATCGATATCGCGCTTCAGCGATTCGAGGCGTCTGTGTTCAGCATCGAGCGACTGCGGAAATTGGCCAAGGGTCTCAAGGGCAATACCATTGCACAAGACGTCATCAATTTCAAGGTCGACGGGCGAGCGACTCGGCTTGCTGGGATTCTCTTGCGGGCACTAGTCGACAAGCACTCATTCCCGGTGGCTACCAAGACTCACGTTACCTGGTTGGCTCGGTTAGGTTTTGAGGATCAGGCACGCGAGACTTACCTAAAGGCACGTTCAGACGTGATCGGCCAACGCATCCGGTATGCTCTCCTCCTTCGATCACACAAGCTTTTGATTTCATATTGACACCTTTTTGTTTTTCCTCTAGGGCGTGTATCTTCGAAGGTGATCTACCTCTGTACATTTTCCAGATCTCCTATGTCTATTTTACCTTGATCAAGAACACCATCGGTATCTATCAACAATGCTTCCCTGGCGTGATGAGCAGCTCTTGTATTCGCTGGGCTAAACATCACCTCGATGGGTTCAATGCTCTGCTCAGCCGACAGCTTAGCAGCGTGCAGCGTGGCACATCGGTTTGGCAGAAATGCCTCGACATTGTGCACGATCATGCGGCTCTCTTGGTGGAAGTGGGTGTGGATTTCACAGACTTGGTGGCTCGCGGACTGGACGAGAACGGTGAAGGATCGTTTGATGGGCCACGCACTGTCCAACCGGGCGAGCTGGCGCAGGCACCCTCTGCGGTAACAATGTTGTAGTTGATTTTTTGTGAATGTCGAATTAGCGACTTTGATTGGGAATTTACGCTGTGATCGTGTTTAATCGGAACCAATCATTATATCCTTTAATCTCACCTCAACACCGAGTCATGGAGATTAAATGTTATCCCCGGCTGCCAGTAACCCTTATTTCGCGTGTCACTCCCCGTCGACTCTCAACAACCATTTTCTGTATGAAGGTCATTCTCAAAGGTTCAACGGGCTTCCTGGGCTGTAAAGTCTTGTCCCAATGGCGTGCACATCCTGATCTTGGCCATGTGAGAAGATACGAGACTTGCATACCATAAAAAGGGATCTAGGCCAACAACGTTGGATTGAGCAATAGATCTACACTGGGAATACCACATTAGATTGAATCATCGTTGATTTTCCAAGTCACTATTTTCGAGCACTCCACAGTGGACATGGGCGTTTTTCTCCGCAGTCGGCTAAATACAGCCCTGGAGGGGATCCCGTGTGTTCCTCTTCACCTATACCCTCTCCAGGTTCTTATATTCTTTTGATTTCCACATGACTTATCCTTAGAATCAAAGAGGTGTCTAAGTATGCCGATTCCTTCCTTGCCCCTCTTTGCTGCAGCGGAGCAGCATGTGCGCCAGAACCCCGACAAGATCGCGGTCATTGACACCACCAAACAACAATCCTTCACATTCGCTCAATTGCTGGCAGATGCGGCAGCGCTAAGAAAGCGCATTATTGAGCAATTGGGGTTGACGGGGGATTTGGAAGAACGACGCATTGCCTTCTTGGTCCCCCATGGATATGACTACGTTGCTACGCAATGGGCTGTGTGGGCGGCGGGAGGTGTCTGCGTTCCACTTTGTAGGTGAAAATGATGCGCCACAACGCAAGAAAAATTGTCTTCAACGCTGATCTTCACTAGGTACAAGCCATCCAGTAAAGGAATTACTACATACCGTCGGTGATTCAGACCCGTCATTGATAATTGTGCATCCGGAGTTCGAAAAGATCGCACCCTCGCTGCGCGAAGGATGCGCCACCGACATACCATTTTTTGGACTAGAACCATTCTCTCGAAATGAGGCACCGACTTTACCTTCTTTCTCCCCGCCGTTTGCGCTCACTCGCCGTGCCCTGATGATCTATACCTCTGGAACCACATCAGCCCCCAAGGGTTGCGTGACAACACATAAGAATATCACTTTCCAAGCGAGCTGCCTGGTCAATGCCTGGGAATACACTCCCTCGGACCGTCTGATCCACATGCTGCCGCTCCATCATGTCCACGGTATCATCAATGGCCTGGCGGCCAGTTTCCTGAGTGGTACCACTGTGGAGATGTATCCGAAGTTTGACCCGAAGGTGATCTGGGAGCGGTGGCAGGACCACGGCTCCTCGACCATGTTCATGGCTGTACCGACCATTTACTCTCGTCTGAATGACTATTTCGATGCTCATATCCGCGGTACGGAACGAGAAGATGCCGCGCGGGCTGGAGCTCGTGCTCTACGGCTGGTCGTCAGTGGATCTGCGGCCCTCCCTACCCCCATCAAAGAAAAATTCGCTGAAATCACTGGCCAGGTTCTACTAGAGCGGTATGGAATGACAGAGATCGGTATGGCGATCAGTTGCGGGCTAGAGATTCCAAAGCGAATCGATGGCAGTGTGGGATGGCCGTTGCCCGGTGTCAAGGTGCGACTGTCCGAAAGAGAAACAGGGCAGATCGTAGATGGAGTGGATGAAGACGGCATGATTGAAATCAAGGGTAGTAACGTCTTCTGCGAGTACTGGCGGAAACCGGAAGCTACGGTCTCGGAGTTCACATCCGATGGATGGTTCAAGACTGGTGATGTTGCTAAACGCGATTCAAGCGGTGCATACTTCATTCAAGGCCGGGCTTCTGTCGACCTGATCAAGTCCGGTGGATACAAGATTTCAGCGTTGGAAGTTGAACGCAAGATGCTGGCCATTCATGCGATTCAAGAAGTTGCAGTTGTCGGATTGGCCGATCAAGAATGGGGCCAGCGAGTCGCTGCGGTTGTCAAGTTCCGAGAAGGGGTATGGTTGTGTTGTCCCCATCCAGGGGAACCTTTTTTTCGTTGCACCACTGACGATGACATAGACTACACCGCTGGAACTACCTACTCTACGCGCCGAGCTCAAGAACGAGATGGCCCCCTATAAGATCCCAACCGTCCTGAAGGTTGTGGATGGGATCGAGCGCAATGCCATGGGCAAGGTCAATAAGAAGGTCATCAAGCAAAAGTACTGGCCGGATAAGGCATGAGCCGACAGATGAAAAGCAAGAGATGTCTAGGTGTCTCAACTAGCGAGCATACATTCTCTAAATAAAACTGTCGTTAAGACTTTTTCATGTAAACCCAGGGACACTTGAGAAAATAAACAAATGTACCAACTAAACAATATGGTGGAGTACCTTCATCGGCATACTCATCCGCTAGTGAAAATTTCTATAGATGTATACAGATGTAGGAAGCTGGAATGAGAGTCGTTTTGCCCACTGGCACTGACAGTGACACCGGTGGTTCTTCAACTATCAAGTGCACTAACGAGCAGTCCATGTTACGGAAATTGGACTGTCGTCTTTTGCCACTCCTCACACTGCTATATTTACTCTCGCTTTAGGATCGCTGCACCCCATTTATCAGGTGATCATCCGCTATTGGTTGCATCGGATTCATTCTCCTCATGTGATATCACTGTGCGGGCGTGTTTTATGTCGGAACCATCTTCGCGGCAAGAATTTACCCAGCTGTCGCCGCTGTGCTATTGTAGCCCGCCAATATTGTGTCCGAACAGACTACGCGTTGCATTGCCAACGCCATGCAGATCTCAGCATTCTGAGTGCGGTCCTTCACAGCGAGACCGCACCGAAAGTATCCCATGTTACTTCCTGGGTCATAAGGTTTTCCTTGGGATATCTGGTTGCCAACAATGTAGTCGTTGGTTCCAAAGTTGAAAAGAAATTCATAGGGAAATTAATGAATTAGATTATCAGAGTTGGGTATATAAGATGTTAACCGCAAGTCCCCAGGCTCCCAAGCCCCAGAAGATGCCAAGACCAAGAAAAAGAAAAAGAAACCCCCCTTCCTCCCCCCCCCCCGAAAGGGAAATGACCCCAAAATGACCCAAATGACCCCAAATGACCCCAAATGACCCCAAATGACCCCAAAAGTGGAAAACACGCAACACACATAGCACACATAACACATGACACACGTATAACACATAACACATAACATACACACATAGAAAGATAGACATACACTGAACGAGGCCGTCAAATGAAACGGAGATTCATCTAATCTATACAGCGATTTTATTCACGCTGCTTACGGAGTATCGAAGAACATAACTTTTCAAACAAAAAAGGAAAGACAAACGTCTCACATGAATCCATAGCGCTATTGGATTCCACCTTTCCCAAATATTTATAATGGCAAAAGAGGTTTGTTCTCATGGCGCCAAGACAAGAGCAAGGAGAGCCATGCGGCAGTAGAGGCCGTAGCGCATCTTTCATGTAGTTAGCATGTTATTCAAAGAAATTAGGGGATTTTCAAGACATACCTGGCGGAAGTAAGCAGCCCGCTGGTCGAAGTCGACTTCCTCAGAGATCTCGGCGTTGCGAGGGAGAGGGTGCATGACGACCATATGGCTCTTAGCGTACTTCAGCAGAGCGTTGTCAATGACAAAGGTGTTCTTGAGGCGCTCATACTCGGAGAGATCGGCGAAGCGTTCCTTCTGAACACGGGTGGAGTATAGAATATCGGAGCTGGCGACAATCTCAGGAGTCAACTCCTCGGACTCGAGGACCAACTGGCCGGAAGCAATGATCTGCTGGCGGATGTCCTCGGGAAGGGCGAGAGCCTTGGGGGCAACGAGCTGAATGCGGACATCGTAGAATTGGAGCAGCTTGATGAGGGAGTGCACAGGGCGGCCGTACTTGAGGTCGCCAGTGAAGGTGATGGTCAAGCCGGTGACAGTGCCCAGCTCCTCACGGATGGTGAACAAGTCCAAGAAGGCCTGGGTGGGGTGTTCAAGGGCACCGTTGCCACCGTTGATGACGGGGACCTGGGAGTATTTGGCGGAAATCTCAGTGCTGTTCGCGTCGGGGTGGCGCAGAACAACGGCGTCACCATAGCAGCCGAGAGTGCGGATGGTGTCCTGGAGGGTCTCGCCCTTCCGGCTAGAAGAGTGCTCAGTGGAGATGGCAATGGTACGTCCACCGAGGCGTTGCATGGCGGCATCGAATGAGGCTGAGGTGCGGGTGGAGGGCTCGTAGAAGAGGGTGGTGAGGACACGGCCCTTCAGGAGGTCAAGAACGCCGTGGCGCTGAACACCAAGACGCATCTCCTGCGCAACGGTGAACAGCAGGTGCAGGTCGGCGCGAGAGAACTGGTTCACAGACAGGATGTGCTTTCCACGGAACGGTGAACGGGAGAGCATGTCGGCCAGTGAGGGGGAGATCTGCGACGAGGCGACATAAAGGGGGGGACCGAGTTCGCCAACAGCCGGCAGAGCGCTATCCAAGGCCCGGAAGCGGCGGGCAGGAGTACCAGAGATAGAAACATGTCTATCAAGGGAACTCTCCGGGCGAGCCATAGGGGTCACGGGCTTCTGCAAAGGCGAGGTGGGGACGATGCGGTGAGTGGACATGTCGGCACCCTTGACAGCATCCTTGGTGATCTCGCCATCGAGGCAAGTGGTCTTGCCCTGGAAGACAACACGCTGGACGGAGCCACGCATCGTCTTGCCGTTGAACGGAGACCAGGCCTGAGGGTTCTGGAAGACGTAGGGGCGGTCAACCTCAACCTCGAGCGAGCTGTCGAGCTGGTCGTGCAGCTCAAAGATCTTCTTGGGGTTGTCATAGAGACGAGCGGTAATCTCCTCAACAGTCAAGCGGCTCTCTGCGACAGCAGTAAACAGGAGAGGAATGGCCTCAGCGATGCCGGACTCGGGGGTAGCCTCCTTCCCAGCAAGCTGGAAGGGAAGGCTGCCAATGGCGAAGACATCGATGGTGCTCATGTGGTCCCATAGAGCCGTCTGGTCCTCTGCGGTGGGCAGGGAGCTGCAGGCCGGGAAATCCTCGCGAGAGAGGAAGAGGGAGTAGATGGAAACATCACATGTCACTTTCAGACCCTTCTCCTTGCTCAGAGCAATGAGGCTGATATCCTCCTTAGAGGTAACACTCATGACGTGGATGTTACGGCTGTGAAGGCTGGCCAACAACAGAATCGAAGCAAGATCAGTGCTCTTGGCATCAGTGATGAGAGGCTTGCTCGAGGGCCAAGAGCTGAAGTGGTTGGTGACAGTGGCCACCTTGTTGATGTTGCCCGACAAGTGGTTGAAGGGGACAAACAGAGAGCCAACCTCCCCAGTCATCTGGATGATCTGGTCCGAGTTAGTGGCGGTGGCAGCAACAGAGATGTTGAAGTCGCAGAGCGCCTTGCCCTGAGCATTCTGCTGGACAATCTTCAGGTCGCGGGACTCAGTGACCGAGCTATCAACACCGACCGGCATCACGCGGATCATGCTGAAACCGCCTGCAATCGAAGCCTTGGAAACGCGTTCAAAGTCGCTGGAGCCAGCGCAAACCAGATTCGGGACAAATGCAGCAATGTTGACCAGACCGGGGAGGACCACGGTACGGTGGCTAGTCTGGTAATCGGCGGGAATGATGTTCAGAGGGAAGTGACGAGCAATAGCCTCGATCAAGATCTTCGCATTCTTGACATTGGTGACCAGAGGAGTCTGGTAGTCAACAGCCATCCGACGAGTACGGTAACCCTTTGACATGTAGTTGGCCGGGCGACGGAAGCGATTGCTGGAGGGCAAGTTGATATACAAATCGATGAGGTTGTTGGACAAGTGCTGAGTGAGAGAGTACTCAGACTTCATGTCCTCCTCCTCGTGATCCGGAAGATGCTCGAGGTACTTGACAGGCACACCGTTCTCCTTGAGGAAATCAGCCGTACCAGCGGTGGCGAACAGGTTGTAATCGAGATCGTGGAGCTTCTTGATCGAGGGCAGCATCTCAAGCTTCTCCTTATAGGTACCAATGGAGAAGAGGATGTTGCGGCGAGGAAGACGGAATCCAGTGGACAAGAGGGCCTTCAGGTAAGCCTCATACTTGTCACGACCGAACGAGGCGACCTCACCAGTAGAGGCCATCTCAACGCCCAGGACGGGGTCGGCACCGGACAGACGCGAGAACGAGAACTGGGGAACCTTGACACCGACGTAATCCTTGGGAACTGACACAGGAGGGTACTCCTCGAATGGAATTCCAATCATGGCCTTGGTGGCCATCTCGATCAGGTCAACACCCATGACCTTGGATACGAATGGGAACGAACGCGAGGCACGAACGTTGCACTCGATAACCTTGATGTCATTATCCTTGGCAATGAACTGAATATTGTAGGGACCAGTGACGTTCAGAGCATTACCGATCTTGCGGGTAGCCTCCTCAATGCGACGGACGGTCTCCGGGCTCAGATCCTGGGGAGGCAAGATCAGAGTAGCGTCACCAGAGTGAACACCAGCGTTTTCAACGTGCTCAGAGATGAAGTGGCCAACCATTATACCGTTACGGGCAACAGCGTCCATCTCAATCTCCTTGGCATTTTCGATGTACTTGGTGATAACAACCGGGTGCTCACGAGAGACATCGACAGCCTGGTTCAAGTAACTGGCCAGATCATGCTCAGAATAGACAGTGTTCATAGCAGCACCAGAGAGCACGTACGAGGGACGGACCAACACGGGGTAGCCGACCTTGTCACAGAAACCGCGAGCCTCGTCAATGCTAGTCAGCTCCTTCCAAGCGGGCTGATCAACCCCGATGCGGTCCAACATGCGGGAGAATTTGTAACGGTTCTCGGCACCATCAATCATCTCGGGGGAGGTGCCCAGGATGTTGACGTTGAGACGATGGAGAGGCAGAGCGATGTTGTTAGGGGTCTGACCGCCCATAGACATGATCACACCGCTGGAAGTCTCCAGCTGGTAGATGTCCAGAACAGTCTCGAGGTTGATGTTCTCGAAGTAAAGGCGATCAGCCTCGTCGTAATCGGTGCTGACAGTTTCCGGGTTGTAGTTGACCATAATAGTCTTGTGGCCCTGCTCGCGGAGCGTGCGAATAGTACGCACGGAACACCAATCAAATTCGACCGAGGAACCGATGCGGTAAACGCCAGAACCCAGAACCATAATACCATGATCGTCGAAAGTCAGATCATGCTGGGAAGCATTATAGGTAAGGTA